CCCCCGTCCCCCAGATGACTCAGGTCCCGGTCCGGGTCCGGCCCCCGCGGACCAACGCTAAGCACGTCTAGGTGATTTATGCCACCGAGTTCTGCATATTTTGCGGATTTCATTGCAAAAAAAAATCTTGCTAGGTTCGCGCTCTCTTGTTTCTAGGTATAATACTTTTCTGGGGAGAGGCGGAATACGGGAAAAGAGGTCTCGGTGGAGGGTGGAGTGGGGGAGGAGGTGGGGAAGAAATTGAGATCACTCTCGAGGGGTAGGGTGGGGTGGGGTGGGAGTAACGTAAACCGTGGGGCCTAAAATCGTTGTGACACTAGTATAATGCTGTACAAAAAAAGGCCTAGTATAATTATCCATAATTTCCCCTCTTCCGAAAAAGAAACAACCTATTTTCCAAGTTGGTAATAGAAATATTCTCCAAAACGTACTGTTTGGCACATTAGGAAACTACACACAAACCGAGCCCTTTACATAATACGCATGATATGCCAGAGAAGGGAGCCGCATTTCGGCTCTTATTGTTTCCCAAAAGGTCCACCGGGGGGCGAGATCGGGGAGAGGTCGGGGCGGTCCAGCAGGAAAGGGTGGGCGGATGCAGCGGCCCGGCCGTGAGCTTCCGCTCTGGACCAGAGGTTCGCCGCCGACACGCACAATGGCGTGCGCAGAAACGGCCGTGTTTTTGTGTCCAGTCTGCTCTTCATCCCCAAACAACACCCCCCCCCTCTCTCCCCCATGTACAAGGCCATGTATGGTCACGCATGATCGTGAAATCGGGTTCAAGTCGAGGGGATACACATATTATGGCCTTCATTGAGTTCAGTATCACCATTATAGTTCATACGGACCGTCCATGATATTTGTACTTCGAGGTAAACAATAATCATTGGTCGCTGTGAACCCAAATGGCCGACCTTATCCTTTTGGGAAATCATAATTTTTTGACCCCCCTAAAGTCACGTGGTTTGGCTCCAAAGCGCTCCAAAGTGTATATAGGCGTAGAGATATAAACGTGAAGTCGGCAGGATAGTTTGCCATTTTTTTTTTACCCCCGACTGCATATTGAAAGGAATGGACGGACGCTGCAAAGGAGTCGGAGGAAACGAGAGTCGTATAAGGCCGACTGGTCAGCTATTGGTTGATGGGGCCATCCGAGTGGTCGTCATCTGCACACAAGAGTAGACTATACTCCCTCCTCTGGACATATGTCCAATATGTCGTTATATGTCCAAGTTTGTGACTGTCGCATACTGTTTGCAGGTGTGTAAACGCCATTCATATACATCAGCAAATGAATAGTCGAGGGGACTTCCGCACATCCACAGACTTTTTTGGATTAACGTGCGTACGAAAAAGTTTACTGTGCATGAGCATTCACACACCTACAAGCGTGCGCCATTCGCGCA